AAAGTTCTGGACCAGGGTCACAGGTATTGGAAGCGAACTTTAAAGCAGCAACTGCACTACTCAGCGAGGTTTTCATGTCTTCAGATCTCACTTGCCAGCGTATTCAGGATCACTATAAGGAGTGTTCTTGGCTGGAAACCGAACCAGGCTACAGCTACTGGTTAGTCAACTGCAAAAGATGGGAAACATTGATATCTGACCCTACATTTGGCATTTATTGTGACCTAGTGACAATTCTCAAGATTGACTCTGCCTATGACCACGACTACCAATCGGCTACGATTCACCCGTATCCACGACAACGCGGTAATGTCATCGCCTTCTGGCTCCAAGAATGGTCCACATATCGCGTGCTCATCGAAAGGCGCACGGTATGTAACGACCCAAGTGACTGTGATTATGCAAGCGGGGGCATGTTTGTCACTCAATCCGCACGCCGTCTGCTATTTGAAGGTTACGTTGATCGCGTTGCCATGAGACTCCTCAATTCGGAGCTTGAGCCCTACAACCTCACCGCTCGTTGTGTGAATCGGTCGACACTCGAACTTGACGAGTACTGTAGGCCCGTGGAGAATATTGAATGCTCGGAGGATGGATTTGAAGTCTCTGATGTGAGTGGCAAGCTTGCACGATTTCAGCGTGATGGCCAGCGCCGGGAGGAGTGGTACGCTCCTGAGATTATCCTCAACCTCTCCGATATATCATCGATTGTGAGTCCTCTTGATGTTGCAAATGTTTCCGCTAGCATTACGCTCGCCATCGACAACCCAGCTTTCGCTATCTATCCGGGCAAACTCTGGGAGCCTAACGCATCCTCCTACCGCCTGCGCAGGGGCGAAGGTGACTCTCGGTCACTCAAATTTCACAAGAAGGCCGATTGTGATCTTCGTTTCCTCGGTGGTGCCAAGAAGTGGGGAAGTTGCACAACTCGACTACAGACAGGCAAAGGCAATCTCAATGATGTGCAGCGCGTTGCAGAATGGCGCGGTAACGGGACTCTTATCACGGGTGACGATTTTGTGCAGACTATCCCGCGCCTGTTTATTCTAGCGGGGCTGATGCTTCGCTGACGGTCAGTTGCTTCGTTATATGCAATCGGTCTACTTAGGTGGATACAATCAACACATCCGCTGGGACGCTGATCCACCAAACACGCCCTTTTGGGTGGGAGGGCTTTCGAGCCTACAACTTCACATATCTGCTACGGGGCAAGGGCTTCGACTTTCAAGGTGCTGACGTGATGCATGTGTTGAATGCGGACCATCTTATGCTCATTGAACTCATGCGTCTTCGCACTGGGGACCTCAAGATTGGAATGGCAGACCTCTCCGAAGAGTCAGTTTTTTGCCTCCATTGCACTGAGCTATTTCACCATGCAGTTCGATAGGTACTATGTCGAGTGGCCGACCCGCAAGAAGGCCGAGGCACACAATTATACACGTCGCTTCTGGGCTCGAGCTAATCGCTATGAGACCACGTCTACAACATTCGACGAGGGTCGTCGATTTGCTCGTGATAAACTCAAAGACCTTCATGATGAGAGATACACGATTCCCTACGGTATGATATCTCTCCAGGCCATCACTGATACACCCTGCTTTATAAGCCTGCCTCACTTCTACGGCAACGAAGAGTGGGGTGGTCTTGAGGCTAGGCAGGTGTATTTCGACACAAATTATGATCGCAGGCTTCATAGCTACTATGTGGACATCGAACCCATCACTGGCCAAACTGTTCGTGAGGCACGTCGCTTCCAATTCAACTTTCGCGTCGAACGCAATATGCAATTTCCCCAGATCATCTCAAGCCAAGAACGCTGTGAAGTGCCCACTGCAGACTTCAGCGAAAACGGATATGGCTGTTTCATGTTCTTTCCCGTATGGTGGGTTTCAGAGGAGCGCCATATAGACGGCGTCAAAGCTTTGCGCCTCAAGCAAGAGGTCCTTGAGGTCACCGAGCGCCTTTTTCATACAGCGCTTTATGGTGCAGCCGTTGGGTTCATGCTCATCTTCCTTGGGATAGTACCTTGGTGCTTGACGAATCGGAGGGAGGTCGCTTTTCGTCAGCGAATATACATCGACTGAACGCTGCAAGAGGCAAATGCGCCATATACCCCACTATCTAAGGCACATGTAGACACGTCTGGGCCGCGCGCGCGCACAAAGGACTGCAGCGGCGACTCGTCCGCTGCGCACGGGTTCGCCGATGCGCCTGCTGCGCCCAGAGGCGGCGTCGGTGGGCGCGCGTCGAGCCCGGGGCGGTGCGTCGGCGGTCGAGCTCGCCGACGGCGGCGCGGCTCCGCGGACGACGTTTTCGCCACTGCAAAGCGGGTGACCTCGCGGGCTTCCCAGCGCGCACGAGGTTGCCGTAGGCCGGTCGGCCCGCTCCCCGCGGGGTGCGCGCGCTCCTCGACGGCGCGCAGGCTAGGGGCGCGCGCGCACACCGTTTTATCGGCGAAGGCGCCGCCTGCAAGGGGAAGATAATAACAGGAAGGTAGATACAGGGGAATTTTGTTAGAATCCGAGTATGCTAGTATTAAACCCAGCATAGCATAGCCAGCATAAGGCAGACTTAGCAGAGCCAGCATAGGCCAGTATGAACGCCCCAGCATAGGGAGGATAGCATAGTCCCGAGTTAGGGTAGCATAGCCCAAGGAGAAAATGCAGGCCCCCTAGGTAGCTGGCTTGTCGCTAAGCGCACTATAGTTACACTCGCGTTCTGAGGGCGATAGCCGCCGTTCATCATAGAAGACGAGGAGTGTAAAGGAATGTAAGCGCCTTCACTGTAGACTAGAAAGGTAGACATTTACACTGCCCTGCCAACCGGCGGGGATCTAGCAACACTAAGCGGTGAGCTGCGAACGCAACCCCCAGACTCCTCGGTCACTAAAAGTGTGCAAGAGAAAGATAGAAGAGGATACCGTCGGATTCTAACAATATCCACTGCACTAGCCGTTGTCCGTGACAACACGCCCTTCTTCCTGCTCCTAAGACTGGTCGGCAACCTATGGCTGCAACGGCCACACTACTGGAGCAGAACCTGCAGATGCGGCCTGCAACCGCTCCGCCGAGAAGGAGCTCTAGAATTGAGAGTCTGCCGCCTCAGAACTTTAAAGAGCCAGATGGTCGGAAAAACCCAGGCGTCGGCGGGGCAGATCACGTCCCCCCTGCAGGTCCACCTAGTTAAATACAGGGGAATTTCTTCCTGAGCTCCGAGGGACGTCCCGATGCAGCTTGCGTCAGGGTCTCGCGCAAAACCATGCTCGCGGCGCACCCCTGACGCAATCAAAAACCTCCACTCAAAAACGAATGTGCACGATTCCGACCGCGGGTAAGGATCAAAGCCAGAGCTCGGTAAACCCTATTGGCAAAGGTGATAGATGCATAACCGATGCTGGCCTAGCTGATCGATGCTACACCTCGCTATCAAAGGTGAAATCAACTGTCTTTTGACTGCACTTCGCCTCAATAAGCGCTGGGCAGCCGATGGAAGATTTACGGACGAAATATCTAACTTGATAGAACATCCTATAACTAAAACTCTGAAATCACTTAGCAAGTATCTTGGGAAAAGACATGCAGACATTGACACCGTCAAGGTTGTATCGCCATTTGTGGCTGTAATATGTTCTGCTCAGACGACCGGTCAAATCACTGCAAGGGCATTGACCTCTCTATACAATTTTTTATTGTATGGTCTCAATACCGCCGCCTCCGGTCGGAGTGATGCGTGCATGGCACTTGTTGCTAAGGGGATAACAAACTGCCGCTTCGAAGACACACGTAAGGAGAGTGATGAAAGTGTACTCGTAAAATTGCTCGAGCTGATCACACTCACGCTCAAGTGTGATAGTGGATTATTGCTGAAAGAGAAAGACGCATACAAAATGTTCCTGCTTTGCTATCGAGTAGGCTGTCGCGATAAGGCTTCTGAATTGCTTCGGAGTAACGCAGACGACACATTGGCTCGTCTCATTCTGAGCTTCTTCGGTAGCAAGCAGGAGTTCAGCATATTTCCTAGCCGCAACCAGGTGCCATTAGTTGATACATCGAGCACAATTAATTTTCGACCTGCCGTTTTGGTAATGAATTTCTTATGCGACTTGGTGTGTGCACCGCAAGAGGTCAGGTCTAGTTGTATTTTAGCTCTTAGCCTCATAAATATAATGCTTGAAGTGGCAGCTAATACTCTTGCTTCATGCCCGATGATCCTTTCCATACTGCAGAGGAAGCTGTGTAAGTATCTGCGAGGAGCCCCTCCAGTAGAGGATCTCACGATTCTCTCCCTTAGACTCCGGGTTATCTTTAATCTTTTCAATTCAATGAAAAAACATCTCAAACTCCAGCTTGAACAGATTTTGATCTCAACGCATCTGCACATACTCGGGGACCTTTCATCTTCACCAGACCAGCAAGAAATAGCACTCGAGAGCCTTCTTGAGTTCTCTCGGGAGTCATCAATTCTGCTGCATCTATATGTCAGCTACGATGCCGATCTGAACTGCAGTAACCTCTTTGAGGATCTCTTCATTAGTCTTGCGAACTCCGCCACGCCCTTGTCTCGTCAGCCTATGAATCTACTGAACTACTTGGCAATGGACTGCGTGCTTGAGGTTGTTTATTTTGTCTCTTGTCGGTGTTTCTCTTCAAATCAATACGAATTATTACCGTTGAGTGTGGACGACGCTATTATTTGCAACGGTAATCCGGGCTACTCGCTGTGCAACCTTGGCATTGAATGGCTGAAAACTGCCAGAGATTCAACTGCGCAGATGTTGCAGCAACGAAGACGCGCCAAAAAACGCCGCAGCCTTGCCGCGGACTATTTTAATGCTGAGAACAAATGGATTTCGAAAGTTGAATCCCTTGGAATTCTCCCAGTGAACTTAAGTGCGAAGCTTGTCGCTCAGTTTCTTCATGAAAATCCCCGTCTCGACAAGAGGCGTATTGGCGAACTGCTTTCAAAAGGCCCACAAGACAAATATCCCTTCCATGCTGCTGTTTTCACAGTTCCGCGCCTTCACGTGGTTACTTGAATAACCTTCCTTGTAGGTGCTCCGTGAATACGCATCTCGCTTTGATTTCCGCGCCCAGCCATTCCATGTTGCTTTGCGCAACTTTCTTTCAGGCTTTCATTTACCAGGAGAAGCTCAATGCATCGACAGACTCATGGAGGTTTTTGCTGGAGAACTCTATAGCCAGTGGCAGAGCAATGCCGGGGCTTGGGCAGCATGTCCTTTTTCTAGTGCTGACGCCGCTTTTGTTCTTGCATTTTCTACGATTATGCTCCAGACAGACTTGCATAACCCAGCAATCGCTGCGTCAAAGCGGATGAGTGCAGACGATTTTGTGCGGAATAATAGAGGAATTAACGACGGTGATGACCTTCCACATGATTTTCTCTGGTCTCTTTATCAAGCAATAAAGGATGCACCGATTCCACGACCCGTTCAGTCGATCCAAAATTCATCCCCAGTAAGCACCGGAGATGGTACATGCCCGCCGGGTTCCGATAAAATTGTATCTCGTGGTTCCCTAATGTCTCTTTACTTACATAGCGAACCGCCGCCACTTTTTTCTGCAGATGCAAACGATTATGACATGTTCCAGTCCATTTCGGAGGCCATCCTGTCTGTGTTCCTGGACACCTTCCATCGCTCGCACGATGAGGGCTTCGTCTTGAAACTGTGTGCAGGATTCCGCTGGTATGCGCAAATCTGTGAATATTTTGATTTATCCCGAGTGCTTGATCGCCTTCTTACAAACCTCCTGTGTACCGGAAGGCGGTATGTGCATAGTGTACGAGTATCTGACCGAGCAAAAATAGATTCCATAAGCTCGCCTCAAGATCAATTCGAAGCTTTGCATGCAACCATTGGGCGGACAGGTCAATCAATTAATCGAAAGTTTTTAGCATTCAAAGAAGCATTGGAAATAACTTCCGGATACGGTCACATCTTGCAAGACTCTTGGCAACACACGATTGATTTATTTCTAGATCTTGCTGATAGGCGTGCACTGCCTGTAGCTCTGATTAACATAGACGATACAGTTGGTAGCGATGGAAAGTTATTGGCAGCGTCAACTTTTGCGCTTCGTTGCAGGGCTCACTGGACTGTCTACCACATGTCACATGACAACAATATGGGCATGGGCACGGCTAAACAGGACACTTTCAATCAAAGTTCAAATAGGCTATGGAGTTCAATCTCGTTGTTGTGGCGCTCGAGTGGGCATGGCAGTGTAAGGAGGCCTCCAAGTCGAGCTAGCCCCACGATGATGAATCTTTCGTCGGCTTTCATGACAGCGCCTGTCGAGGCGATCGATGCTATCTTCTCAGCGACAGGAATGTCCTCCATTTATGCCCTCTCTGCCAACTATCCGCTTGGTACGTTATTGTCTTTACTCTCCGCATTACTTGCCCGTGTCAATCCTGAAGGAAAACATCCGGAAGGGCTTAAAAAATTCGAAGCTCGGGCAGCTCTGGCGTTGGAACACGCCTGGCGCGTGCGGGGGCAGAGTGCTGCTCAAGCAGGAAATTGTGGCTTTAAATGATGCACTTCCAATCTCTAGGTTCTCGTTCACAACCAGCATCGAGCAACATCGCTCTGGCCGCTGATGCACGCACAGGTCTCTCATCTGATGTCATGCGGACTAATATCCGGGCTCCCTTACCTTGCTGAGCGTTCAATGGTGATTCTATTACGTGCAAATGCGGTGCTTCTCCGAAAGAACACCAGGGCAATGTTATCACGTAGCCTACGGCTGATTCACCAGCTCAGTCACAATACTCTGGTTCATGTCGCAGATCGCCTTGCTCTTGGCCTTCTGGACTTGCTTCGTATGAAGTATGTTTTCGTCGTGTCTCGAATATGCCTAATTGGGAGTCACACGATCATTATCAATATATATAGGCAATGGAAATTGCGCTTACTTGTCCCACTGCTCGCGGAGGCAGATAAGCATCGCAAAGGGCAGCCATATGTGGCTGCAGCTGCTTTGGCGATCGTAGGTGACCTTCCGCAAGCAATATCATTTGCAAAGACATGGACTACATGCCGCCAGCTGATTTTGGGGAATATTCATCGGTTTAATGATCCCTGGGGGACCAAGTGTCACGCGGTATTAAGTAGTGTTTTAATGCCTGATTTTTAGGCAACTCTCTTTGCGCAATCGTCTGATTTCTGCTGATGACGAGTCAGCCATTACTGGTTCATTGTGTGGTGTACAACAGCTTCTCGTCGCAATGCTAAACCGCTACAAGGCAGCTCGATTGAATTTCGATGCTCAAACGAACGAAGCACTCATCAAAGATATGGCAGAAATATGGGCCATATTTAGTAGAAGCACGGAGGCAGTAAATTCTACATCTCAAGGAATTCTGAATGAGATGGCAAATAATACCAGATTACTCCTCCAGGCATCGAGCATCATTGAAACAACAAGCATATCAACGGCTCTTGGTTCCAATGAGCCGAAGGAGCGAACATATATTGTATGATTCCCATGTGTCTTGTCTACAACGCCATGTGACTTGAACGCTACTTGATACTCAGGGATGAAGCAGTGGCGATCTTGAGGTGGGCGCTAGAAGCCCGCGGGAAATTCGACACGCTCCAGTTTTGGGCGCGCCCGGGGAGACCGCGGAGACAGGATGAGGCCCCCGCAGGAGATTTGAGGCGCTGGGTCCTCCCGCTGCCCCCCCCCCCCCGCTGGGCCCTCCTGGCCATGGGCATATGAGCTGAGTTTAAAAAAAACCATGCTCTAATACATCCCCACCGGGACTTAGTTCGCGACTAGGCGTCCCCCCCTGGGCCTGGGAAACCCAACGAAGCTGAGTTTGCGACTTGGCCCCCTCCTTAGTCGCCCTTAAGAGCCCACGCCTGGCCCATCTCGGCCCAGGGAGCCCGTAGGATCCGTGGGGCGGCGGCGGGTGCGAAGCGGGGTCGGGTGGGGTCTCTTCCGGGCCGCCGCGCTGCCGGTCGCGGCGGCTCATACTGAGCCTACTGAGCCGACTCAGTCTCAACCATTTGTCTCCTAAACTCAATATGCGACTCCCAGACTGCAAAGAATATAGACCGAGCTTGCTGTATCTCTCTCTCTCTCTCTCTCTCTCTATATCCATGACTACACTACACAACAGTACGCTACTCTACTACTACCCTAATGCAACTCTGCCAGTGTGCTCCCACATGAAAATGCGTTTGTCTGTGTCCTACTAGCTTGGATCAATGGTAAATCCAAGAAGGGATGCATCCCTGAGTTCGGTATTCTTGATCGGATGGCAATATCGATCTAACTAACAGCTCGCCCAATGGCTCTGCCATCGCATATGTCTATTCATTGTCGCTTCGCTGCAGCTTCCAGCTGTTGTATCAGCGCGACCCTCCCCAATGCGATGTTTATTTTGGCGCTCGTACTGGCGACCATGGGGTGTATTTCGCCTGTAGCCTCGCCCATTCCTCGTCTTCTGTCTCTCGTCAGTACCTACATGTAAAATTTTATATCTATGTCTGCTTAACTGTGGCACAGGAATTCCTGAAGTAAATAATAGTAAATGATACACTCTGAGGCGCTGACGCAATGATGATCAAGGTCGCGCTGGTTGTTTAAACAGGTGGATGGATAGGTTTATAAGCTGCCAGTTTGCTGGCGTAAATTGGTCTGTTCTTTCTCGCTATGAATTGAAGCAGAGAATCGGTTGTGGGGGGCATGGAGTGGTCGTCTCAGCGTTGGATAGAAAAGTGATAGGCCGGGATGCCAGCGTGGCAATCAAAAAGGTGGTGTTTGATAGTACTAGTCAGACGTACGAAGCCAAAAGGCTCTTGCGTGAGGTCCGTTTGATGCGTCGTTTGAACCACCCAAATGTTATCAGTTTATTAGACGTCATGGTCCCACCTCTCGATTCCACGGGAAGTAGTTACCCGTGGGGGTCGCGGGATATTTACCTCGTTACCGAGCTTATGTCAACAGACCTTCAGCACGTTCTGGCAATCGCAAACAAGGCAGGGGGGACATTTGCTCTTCGACATGAACAGGTACAATATCTTTTTTATCAGCTTTTGTGCGGTCTGCAATATATTGGGTCTGCTGGTGTGCTTCATCGAGATCTGAAGCCATCCAATCTGCTTGTAGACTTGCAAAGTTGCCAATTGCGCATTTGTGATTTTGGATTGGCACGCACATTTGCAAAAAAAGTTCACTCCCCTCGTAGCGTGGATAGTCCAGCATCTGAGACAAATCAAAACATTCGACCGGAGGAGGCTCCGCAATTCCTAAACGACGATCCCCGGGATATGGAACCCAGCTTCAAGGCTACGATGACGGAGTATGTAGTAACTCGATGGTATCGAGCACCGGAGATATTGCTCGGCGATGTTCACTATGGCCCCGGCATTGATGTATGGTCAATCGGTTGCATCTTTGCAGAGATGCTTGTGCCTGCAATCGGAGTGCTATTTCAAGGCAATGAGCGACGGGAGATGCTTGTACTCATCATAGCAATGCTTGGCCGTCCAAGTGAACGAGAGTTGTGGTTTGTGGCGGATGAAAGTGCTCGTAAATTCATTCATTCACTTCCATCTCGACCAGCCGAGACCTTGAGTAGGCGTTTGTCAGGCGGTTCGCCACCACCACTAGCGGTCTGTGCCCCCCTCCTCCCCACCCCAAGCCCACCTCACTTTCCCTATCGTGATTTCTCATCACCTGCAGCTACATTTGCTACATGGTCTGTTGGTATTTGACCCAGCAATGCGCAGTACTGCACAAGCGGCTCTCGATCATGAATATTTGAATTGGCCCAGAGCCCGTGTAGGTACGCAGGGGGCAGTCTTCCTCGAGACACCGGCGCCGCATCCACTAAGCATGATCGACATCGAAAGCGCCCCGTCCGCAAAAATTTCTTTACCAGAGCTCATGGTAGGCGAGCTCGCTCTACTGAAAGCCGCCAGCATAGGTTAAGAGCTAGCTTGTTTGTGGCGGGACTTCGCAGAAGTTCTTTATACGCGCAGCTTCTCGGATTTGAGACCAAAGACGCAGTCTGGCGTCGCAGTGCACTGAGGGTAGAAGCCTCTCTATCTCTCCCTATTTCTCTATCTCTCTAATGTGGTACATGAACCTAGCACCCTTTTAAAATACCAATCAGCTTGTTCGTAGCTGCCCATGCAGATTATGATGTTGCAGTGCACCTCCCCCACCGTCGCGTATCCTGATACAATCCTCCTTCATACATGTAATCCAGTTTTAAGTCGGGTAGACAAGAACTGAAGGTGTGTCCCTAGCCAACAGGGCAGAAGTTGCATCGCGCTCTTCTGTTCTGTGGTACCAGAGCGGACTGAACTCCTTGCCGGAACAATTTTCTACCTGTATGCCATGAAGGCAATTTTCCTTTGATCCTTGGTGACATGGATATCTCAACTGGGGTTGCCGAGAAGCTGGGCGCGTCACAGAAGCGTCTGGTGGGACACAGCAATCAGCAGCACAGCCGAGAGGGGGAAACTCACAGCTTCACGGCAGCGGTAGTTATACAGAAGTGCTGGCGCGGTCTCTTTGAGCGAAAATTCGGTCAGCGGGTGTGGTACAAGCTACGCTCGCTTCAAGTGAGACATAGAGCAGCTGCTCGGCTTCAAAATGCAGCGCGCCGAGAAGCCAAGCGCCGTCGAGCTCTGAACCGCACTCGCGAGGAGACTGCAGACCGAGCGCTTTCTATGATTGAACGCATTCTGCGAGCCTACAGCCGACTTCGCAAAGCAAAGAGAGCAGTGAGATTACGTCTAGAGCTTCGGAGTGCAATTATTATCGAGAAAATTCAACGTGGAGTTAGTGCTCGTCATAGATACTGGTCAGAGCGCGGTAAGCGAGAGCGCCATGGAGCTGCTCAACGAATTCAGCGGATCTTCTTGATCTGGAGGTCAAAACGTCGCGAATTGAGTCTTCGCGCGCTTTCAACTCATTTCAGCACGTGCGCACGATGTGGGACCGCAAGGCCATCAGAATTTGTTTTTGATCTCCAGGAAGCTCTCTGTCTCAACTGCCTGCTCGCCATGTCAACGGCGCTTTCAGGCAGAGGGCAGTGGCTGCGGCCGCGTGGTCAGTTACTCGGCACTATGCTTCCTGTGAAGCTCAAGCATCACCTTGATGTATCTGCACTGCGACTTCAGCGCTGGTGGCGCTTCCAGATGTCTGTATCGATCAAAGATGAGGGGACCTGTGCTTCTTGTTGTCGATCTGCCACACACGTCGACCACGCTCTCAATCAACGCATATGCAGGCGCTGCGCGCAACTCTCTCGCCGTCTTTACAACCTGGCAGCTGGTAGTCGCCGGGTGCAGACTCTCATCCAGTACAATATCGATGAGTCCGCAGCAAGGGTGATCCACACATTCTGGCGCGCTTGGCGAGCGTTAAGGCGGTGGAGACTCATCCAGAAAGCGATATTTTTGCGGGCAACTTCAGCTGCTTGCGTTATTCAGACGTCATTTCGTGGGATGCTCTCGCGTACAGTGACAAATTCGTGTGTTGTCACTCTCTCATGGCTCTATATGGTGGCGTTGAGATTTTTGAGAAGACGCCCGGGGGCGTGGTTCATTCGACTTCATGACGACCTCCTCTCCCAAGTCCCACAGCTATTGGTCGGTCCTCGGCGGTGGACTTTTGCCGAGAAGCCAGCACACCTGGGAAGGAGTTTAACGATTCAACTAGTGCACGAAGCAAGTGCTCTTCTGGCAACTCGCATAGGTCGAGGCGGCACTGCAAGACAAAGGGTCAGTGTGATCCGTCTTGAAGCTACTCGCAGACGACTGGAAGTAGTCCGACGTCGTCGAGCCTTGTGCGACACAGCCGCCCGATTAATTCAGCGAGTCTCGCGTGGTTTTTGCGACCGCCGTGAATACACAAGACGCCGCCACCGTCGCCGTTGCGCACAACGCGTTGCTGATCTAGCATGTGATGCCGAAGCACGGGCCATGGATGCTGCTAAGATCTGGAATGCGCATGGAGGCTTCTTGGGATGCAGGTCGCTAGGTGCCGCGCAGCTTCTCGGAATGAGCTGTGGCTTGCTTCCTGCTAGTCAGGATGGTTCTACAACGGAATATTTTCGATCGTTTGCCTTGGCTTGCGCCGATCATCGTCCGAAAGAATCTTGGGTTCATCTTCAGGCTCATACATTGCGACCTAGCACATTGCGGGACACTCTCATGCAAGGAGAAATCTTATTCCGAGTAGTAATGGCCCCAGGGAAACACTTCAGCAGGGGATGCGAAGAAGCATCGAGTGTTCGTATCTATGACCCGCCCAAAGAGCTTGAAGTAGTTCGCCCATCGCGGCTGTCAGTACTTTCTCCGAAAATGAAATCTGATAGGAATGCTGTCACAGTACAGTCCCTATCTCTGTTCCCTGTTGAATTATCGCTACATGTTGTTGCCGCTGCATTGGGCAGCAGGCGTGGAGGTGTCGAACCCTGTTGCGTGATTATCTCCTGGTGTGGCGATATATACGGTGAGTCAAAGGCACCTCCCAACTGGGGTGGTAATGGTTCTTCGGTAATTGAGCGACGTGATGTATTTTATCTACCCTGTGACCGCGACCGTAAACCCGAGTTTTTTGGGCTGGCTGCAAGCACAATGCCACCGTTGAGACTTTCCCTGCAACCCTCTGAAATTTCTTTGAATGGTGACAGAAGCCATTCCGTTTCTCTCTCTCCCGACGCACTGCTGAGCTCATTCGGGGCGCGTACCACCTTCAGTATCACGCCCAAAGGATGTCGTTCTGAATTGCTTGTCAGCGAAGACCATTTGTACGGGCTCCCACAGGATGATCGATACGCAAGCATTACTCTGTTGCTGACCGCTGAAACGTCCGCTCGGACTGAGAGCAGACACGTGATAGCAAGCATACTTTTTAATCTGCTAGAAGAGTTGCTTCACGCGTTACCTGCAAGTGTTCCTCACGTGAAGTGCGCCGTCATCGCTTTTGAGCCGGCTCACGTCGTTGGACTCAACTCGTGGACAGCTTCGTGTGCTCGGAGGGGCGTGCAGGCACGCCTGCTATGGAATGGGTTTTCCACCGGGGGCGTTTGCATACCCATAGTAGACTCGCGATCATTCAGCAAAGTCAGAGATGCAGCTGGGAAAAAGATAAAATACTGCCGGGAACAGTTTGTTCTTCCTATCGACCCCGCGCCAATAGCCCGGGGAAGCCACGGCGATGTAACAGCCATCGCGGACAAAAGAGGCCTACAGCTGGCGGTCGAGATTGTCCCTAGCGTCGCGGGTTCTCCATTTGGTGTTGCATCATTAGACGAAACCTACTTTGGAGAGCAAGAGGTGGAGACACATGTTCCAGTGCGCGCGGTCTCTCACGCGAAAATTGCTAAAGCTCATAGCAGGACACCGGAGTTGGGTCAACTCCACTTGTATCTGACTCTCCACCGCCTCCCAATTCCACAATGGCGTCAACGGCAGCGTGCGGTTGAATCTTATGTGAAGCGAATGATCAAAGACGCACTTCGACGCGTACCCCAACCTCGTGTCGAAATAGCACTAGAGTGTGTATCGGACCTATTGCCTGATGTAGACAATGATACTCTCAAGTGCCGAGTTATATGGGATGATAACCTAGCTGCCACCTGGCGTGCAAGAGATGCGACCGACTCGACCCGTGTACCTGCGCATCACCAACGATGGGCTGACGCCGGTCGTACACTGCGGCTATTTCTGCCTGCCCATGGACTCACGGTGCCGAATCTTCGCCTTGAGCTCCATGGCACATTCAAAAAAACTGGAATCGAGCATTCGGCGCACCAGAGTCAGTTCGAGTGTCTAGGTGTCTGCTTTGTTTGCGGCAGTGATCTCGCTGTCACGGCCGGCAGAATTGGTCTGGATCTCCTCGAGCCCAACGAAGCTTCTTTAAGTAGGCGCAGTGTGGTACCTCAGATCAATCGTCTGGTCCCTGGTCGTGTTTCGATAAGCGTCGACGCTATCGATATTCCGTTGAACACGAACCACTCGACACTTGATGCGGAATCACTTCCAAATCTACAAGTGTCTATACTTGATCTCGACATAATAGACCACCAAAGTAGCTTGGTGCGTGATCCTACCAGTCATCATGATTTGTAATCAGCTGTAAATCATCCAGCTTGTTCATAGGCGGCATCACGTCGCGACGAGGTAGCCGCCGCAAGGTTTTTAGCTCAAGGGAATCCATACGCCGTGGTGAAATGGCATGGTGAGGAGGTTGGTCAGGAAGAAATTGTGCGCCCGTCGCTAAGCCCGCTACTCCGAGTTTCAAGATTACACAATGCAAGAATCGCAACGGCTGATCACATGCTTCCCCGGAGATCTCAACTTTGCTTTTCCGGCAAACCGTACGCGTTTCGCATTCAGCGACAGCTGCGGTCGGATTTGACGGGGCACCCAAGCAACGATGGTGTGGACCTCACCGTGAATGTTTACTCTATGAGCGCTGGCGCCATAAAGAGGAAAAATAGATTTTTTGGAGAAGCAATTATTGGAGAGTCAATAATGCGACATTTGCCACTGACTTACAGTACACTTCCACTACGCCGACGGCGCTGTGATAC